ATGTACAAGGTTTTGTCATCATCAGGTACTTGTCGAAACGTTGTACATTTGCTGTTATGTTAAACTTATATTAAAGTTTTTCTTCATTACTCATTCAAGCCGTTTCCAGCCATTATTATTCTCAAAGTGGGTTCCTCGTCACCGAATTTGAATATATCTAAATAGATATTCCTGCAAACTAGTGTCCCCCAGCGAGTCAGCAGTAAGTTTACGGAGTTACAACGCTAAAATCCTGGGTTCGATTCCCCGTGGTGAACAGAGCGCAGACAACCTATTATGTAGTTTTGCGATAACACAAACAAAGTAGCATTGTTTATTTTTTCCCATCCTTCCCTCTCCCTCTTGTTCAATAATACGATATTTATTATTTTAATTCAAAATGTATGGCATTGTGCACAATATTGCAAAAATCGATGGACATAATTGATGCTTGCTTAAAGTTGTTTGAGGTTAGGTTTGACATTTTGACTGAGAATGACAGTGGGCATACTTAACATACCTTGAGACAGTTTTTGAAACATGCTGAATCATATTCAAACTTTCCTGAACCGCCGATATGATCCCCCAGTGTGTCAGTCTGGTTGTTTGTTTATTTGTAGTTATGCACAAAACTACACAATGGGCTATCTAAACTATGCCCACCACGGGTATCGAAACCCAGTTTCTAGCGTTTTAAGTCCGTAGACACACCGCTGTGCCACTAGGGGCCCCCAGTGTGTCTTTGAGGAAGATATGAATCCCATAATTGTTCACTTAACCAACTTAGCTTGAGTATAAATTATACTTTAAACGGTCATCTGGATTGATGCCATTAACATGTAAAGAAGATTTGTATTTATGCCAAAGCTACTCTTTTAATGGACAGTAGAAAAGACCACAAGACATGGGAAAATAATAACAAAAAACCAACTTTATTGTTACTTGCAACGTTTCGGGTAGAAACCCTTCGTCAGGCAGGTTAAACTGTGTAACATAACAAAAGTAGGTATCACTATAGCTAACTCATCGTTGAACTACAGTGTGAAAAATGTCGTAACAATTCCCAATGATCTTCATTTTACGGAGGCTGAGCTCTCCGTTTTATTAAAAGGGCTTAATTTGGTGCCCACTCGCAACCGACTGGACGTAAATTCTTTGAAAGCTGACATAGAAAAATTCTATAGATGATGTTGTTAAAAAAGCTCACATTTCCAAACAAAACTCATATGAACAAAATACTAAAAACACTGTCAATATTGCTTCCAATGGAATCTCAACTCCTACCACGCCCGTTTTTACCCCTGGTGACATTCTTCCCCTTGATTCTATATGTATCACACCTACAACAGCAACACCCATTCTATCTGATCCTTTCAATTGTTTCGGAATCCAAACTGGTCACCATCAGAAGGAGATCTCCTGATCCTTGATACTTTTATCAAACACTTCTGCTGACATCAACACTATTAAATTGAAAAATACTAATACTAGGTCTAACCTAGCGAGTTGGTCCATCCACACTTAAAACTCACAAGGACATCGCCATCAAACCAGTCGATAAAGGTGCCACCGTTGTTGTTTGACGTAAAGATCTGTATGTTGAAGAAGCTAACAAACAACAAAGTGACTTCACCTTCCACTGAATTAACCTCCACTTACCTTGACAATATTTTTCAACCCCTAGTAGACGCCCTACTTAATCTTTTTAACAAATTTGACTCTGACACTACCATTTATTACATGTTTACTATGGACATTCAATCTCTATACATTGTTATACCACACAACGATAGAATGATTGCACTTAAACCTAAACAAAAGAAGCAACTTATATTCCCCCCTTCCAAAGACACCATACTTCGGGTGACTGACTTTGAATGACTTTGACTTTTACGGAAAAACATATCAACATTTACAAGGAGTTGCTATAGGAACCAAAATGGGTCCAGCGTTTTTGTTGGTTGTGTAGAAGAACAACTTTTCAGCACCTTCACCCACAAGCTTCCTGTCTTTTTATCAGATACATCGACGATATTCTGGGTGTTTCTTCTGAACGAACTCAACCTTTTTATTCATTACACCAATCTCTTAAATTTACTTCCCAAATTTCTAGTCATAAAGCTAACTTTTTAGACATCACTGTTGACATTTCCACATCCACACTTAAAACTACAGTACATTAAAAATCCACTGATAGCCATTCCTATTTACATTTTAACTTTTTCCATCCCTCTAAGCGCAAACACGCCATACATAAGGGACAATTCCTACGTTTGAGACGTCTGTGCTCTGACAACGCTGACTTGAGGTGTAAAGCAAACGACATGACTCGTTATTTTAGATATTGGAACTATCCCAACAACACCACCGAAAAGGCTAAACTTGCCACATTCAGTTTATCACAAGCTGACTGTCTCCAATCTAAGGACAAACCACATGGTGACATAGTTCCTTTAATCCTTACATAACACCCTTTAAACAGACAGATTAACAGAATCGTCCAAAGCAACTTTATCTTACTAACAAAAAGCAACACATCTCATGACATTTTTACCACCCCCACCCTTAATTTCTCTCAAACGTGAGAGGAATTTGAAAAGTTGTCTAGTAAATTTCAACTTACAGGCTGAAGTGTATTTACTTGTTCAAACTACAGGAACTTGTCTGTTGGACGAACTGTTTGTCTCACGTGCGATTATATCATCAACTTATCGTCTCTCTCCAGTTATACCCTTACCTTTCACGTAAAGTACCAATTCACCTGTACATCAGAGTTTGTTTGTTTGTAATTAAGCACAAAGCTACACAATGGGTTATCTGTGCTCTGCCCACCACGGGTATCGAGACTCGGATTCTAGCGGATCACAACGGAACTGACGACATGAGTGTATACGTTTTATTACATGCTCCCCACAACAAGTACGATCACGAAAGCCTAGAAAATAAATTTATACTTAAACTAAATTCTCTCGGTTTATTTTAAGTGATTATACCGTCCGTCTATATCTTTTTGCCACTCCTGTTAACTTCACAACTCCTATACATTTCCCTGATCATCATTATTATTAGTATTAAATTACTATTTTATCATTTATTTCGAATTTATGTTTATTACTTTTCTGTGTCCTTTTAATTTCTAAACTCCAATTTTTATCACTTTAATACTTGTTTTCCATTTTGAAACTGTTTATGGAGCCGCTTCAGCAATGTTCCTTCTAATAATATTTTTGTTTAAATACAAATGATTTTATCATTGTAATAAACTTTACTTTAGATTAAATAATGTGATAAAGTCAGGGAAAAGACCACAAGAATTACTCAACACTAAGCAGAACTAAAGGGGAAATTATATTACTGTTTCATTTAAATCTAGCTGCAGGGTCCCAGAAGTAATTCTTGCAATAACATTGTGTTTCAATTCTCGTTACTTAACCAACTTGTTTGAGAATAAGTTACTAACGATGTTATGAGAATAAAGAAGAAATGTAGACCAACCTCAGGATAAAATATGTTGAATGATTAGTTTATAAACAAACGTGATGTTAGAAAAGAGTCTTCTTCTAAAACAACAATTCGTTTTGTTAGGTTTGTGATATTGATTTTAAGGATAAAGATACACATGTTCTTAGTTTTGGCCATTTTCTAAATAGAAAATTCTTTTAATGTGAAAATCACGAATTTCACCCGATATATAGCAATTGCACAAGAAAAAGAAACTCGAGAAATGTACAATTAGCTATTAATGTCGAAACTCCCAGCTTTACTGTGAAGTAAGAGAAATATTTTCCTCATAGATTTAAAAAACATAGTGCTAAACTCTTAAAAATATAACACGATTTGTATGGAATTCACAATTAAAATAAGTAAACTTATCATGTCTTCAAATAAACAGACACTATTAATGAAGTGTAATTCAGTAACACGACTTGTATGGAATTCATAATTAAAATAAGTAAACTTATCATGCCTTCAAATAAACAGACACTATTAATGAAATGCTTGTTAAATATTTAAAAAAACACGAGACTTCTATGTCCACATTTTAAAATTAAACTTACACTAACTGAATTACACTTCATTAATAGTGTCTGTCTATTTGAAGACATGATAAGTTTACTTATTTTAATTGTGAATTCCATACAAATCGTGTTACTGAATTACACTTCATTAATAGTGTCTGTTTATTTGAAGACATGATAAGTTTACTTATTTTAATTATGAATTCTATACAAATCGTGTTACTGAATTACACTTCATTAATAGTGTCTGTTTATTTGAAGACATGATAAGTTTACTTATTTTAATTGTGAATTCCATACAAATCGTGTTACTGAATTACACTTCATTAATAGTGTCTGTTTATTTGAAGACATGATAAGTTTACTTATTTTAATTGTGAATTCCATACAAATCGTGTTACTGAATTACACTTCATTAATAGTATCTGTCTGTTTGAAGACATGATAAGTTTACTTGTTTTAATTGTGAATAACATACAAATCGTGTTACTATAACATATTTAAGATGTTCAATAGTTGCGAAACTTAGGGTTTTAACAGTGCTTCAACAGTTACATTACTTTAAGGTTTTAACAGTGCCTCAACAGTTACACATTTTAGAACTTTTAAGAGTATTTCAACGGCTATATTCTTTAGGTTTTTAATAGTGTTTCAGCAATTACGTTCTTTAGGATTTTAACAGTGCTTCAACAGTTACATTATTTTAAGGTTTTAACAGTACTTCAACAGTTACACATTTTATAATTTTTAACAGCTTTTCAATAGTTACGTTTTTAGGATCTTTACTAGTGCTTCAAGAGCTAGATTCTTTAGTATTTTAACGGTGCTTCAACAATTAAATTTTTGTATATTTTTGAAGACTGTTTGAACAGTTATGTGTTTTAGGATTTTAACAGTGTTTCAACAGTTACATGTCTGAAATCTATTTATTACCTGAAGTGTAATATAAAATTTGCAAAACACCAACTACTGTTACATACGATTAAAAGTGTATCTTTAGTTAGCTATACATACCACCAGCTATTGTTGCATACGATTAAAAGTGTATCTTTAGTTAGTTATACAAACAACCAGCTATTGTTGCATACGATTAAAAGTGTATCTTTAGTTAGTTATACAAACCACCAGCTGTTGTTGCATACGATAAAAGTGTATTTTTAGTTAGTTATACAAACCACCAACTATTGTTGCATACGATAAAAAGTGTTTTTAGTTAGTTATACAAAACACCAACTATTGTTGCATACGATAAAATGTGTATTTTTAGTTAGTTATACAAAGCACCAACTATTGTTGCAAACGATATAAAGTGTATCTTTAGTCAGTTATACAAACCACCAACTATTGTTGCATACGATAAAATGTGTATTTTAGTTAGCATACAAACCACCAACTATTGTTGCATACGATAAAAAGTGTTTTTAGTTTGTTATACAAACCACCAACTATTGTTGCATACGATAAAATGTGTATTTTAGTTAGCATACAAACCACCAACTATTGTTGCATACGATAAAAAGTGTTTTTAGTTAGTTATACAAACCACCAACTATTGTTGCATACGATAACAAGTGTATTTTTAGTTAGTTATACAAACCACCAACTATTGTTGCATACTATAAAAAGAGATTTTAGTTAGTTTTACAAAACAGC